GGCAGCAGCGTCCCGAGCACCCCATCTCGGCTCCAGCACTCCTCAAGGCGACCCCTCTCAGGCCTCACTGGCCGCTGAGGGCCATGTGGTCAGACCTCGGGCCAGAGGGGGCTCTGAGTGCCACCTCGTCCCAAAGGACAGCCTTCTCTCCCCATGTCGGCCGCCACCCACTGGGACCTTCAGCTTGGCGGGGCCTGCGCCTCAGGAGCCCAGCGGCCGCGCCACCCTGCCCGCAGGTCCCTCCCTGCCTCGAGGGGCGCAGGGCCCCTAAAGTGCCGGTGCGGAGCGCCGCTGGGGCCGCTGGGGGCTAGGAGTCGGGCCCATCCCCCTCCTCGGGCAGGATCTCCAGGCTGCTGTCTGGCTGCGGGGCAGCGGCGGCGGCGGCGGCGGCGGGCGGCGGGGTCGACGGGGCACGTGTAGGCGACAGCGGCAGCGGGGAGACCGGAGGCGAGGGGCTGGGGGGCTCCGCGGGCGGCGCCAGGCCCAGGACTTCCTGCACGTTGTGGGGCAGCTCCTGCGGACAGGCGGGGGTCAGAAACGCCCTGGGGGCGCCGCGGTGGGGCTGGGGTAGAGGCCCGGACTGGACTCACCGGGCAGGCGGTGAGCTGCCAGTACAGCGCCTCGGCACGCGTCAGCACGTCCTCCACGCTCAGCTTCATGGTCAGCTCGTTGATGTGCTGGGGGCGGGGCGGGGCGGGTCAGTCGCAGACCCACCCCGCGGTGCTCACGGGGACCACAGGACCACACAGGCGGTCCCGGTCCCGTCTCTGTGGCCCCAAGGCAGTGCCACCTCCTGGCTCCTTGGCCAGCAGGGAGGAGCTCACCTTCAGGATCTCGTTGGAGCCGAAGCCTGACAGCATGAGGGTGTCCCGCTCCATGTCCAGGATGGCGCAGGCCACCAGCAGGTGCAGATTAGGACCGGGAAGCCTCGTCCACAGCACCTGGAGAGCCAGGAGGAATCTCTGCCCTCAGTCCCCCCCATCTACCCTCCAGCCCCAGCCCCAGCGCCCGCCCCCCCCCCGTGTGCTCACCTCCCACAGCCGGAGGATGTCCGGGAAGGGGAATTCCCTCTTGAACCAGATAAGCAGCCACCGGAAGCAGAAGCAGAGAGAGCCGGAGTCCTGGGAGTCTAGGGGTAAACGCGGGCAGTTCAGCACCTGGGCCTACAGCAGGGCACCCCCAGTTCTCAGCCTCTGAGAAGTGACCCACCTAGGAGCCCAGTTCGGGGCTTCTGAGGTTGCACAGCGACCTCTCCCACCCTGCCTGCCACACTCCCGCTCCGGCCCAGGGATGCACAGAAGCCCAGCCCCAGTGCTGGTGGGGACCGAGGACACCGGACCCCTGGATACACTGCTGGCCCACATCAGCTGCTGTGGTAACTCCAGAAAAAGTCACTCAGGCAGAGTTCAAAAGTTGTGCTGCCCTGGACACGGTCTGCTCCTTGAAAATTATCCCTAAGACACAGCCTATGCAAAATGGGGCCTGTGTGTCGCTTGGCTCAGGTTACATGAGTGCATCCTCTGATGGGCAGAATTGCCTGCTCTCAGAAGCCACATTTCAGAAGACTTAGTGACAGGCAGCCCTGTCCTGGTGGCCCGGAAGGTGAAATGTGCTTTTTTTTTTTTTTCTTCAGTACCGGGGATCACACTCAGGACCTTCACTTGAGAGGAAGGCTTGGGCCCAATAAGCTATATCCCTGGCCTTTTTTTTAAAACGTGCTTCTTTTTCTAAGACTCAGGTGCTTTTCTCGAGAGTGACGTGAGGCCGAGTATTTGTCATCCCCCTCCCCAGTGCATCCTAGAGCTTCCTCATAAATTAAGTGGCGTTCTTGTCAGTGCCTTTTACTTTTTTTGTTTTTCTTTTTTTGGTACAGGGATCGAACTCGGGACCTTACACTTGCAAGGCAGGCAAAGGAACCACTGAGCTAAATTCCTGGCCCCACTTTTGTTTTTTGAGGCAAGGTCGCCCTTTGTAGTTCAGGCTGGCCTTGAATTCACTATGTAGCCCAAGCTGGCCGTGAACTCTTGGCAATCTTCCTGCATCAGCTTCTCGAGTGCTAGGATTACAGGCATGCGCCACCATACCTGACCAGTGTCTCTTTTTCTTAATTTAAAAAAAAATTTTTTTGGTACCAGGGATCAAACTCAGGTCCTTGCGCTTGCACAGCAGGCGGCGAAACCACTGAGCTAAATCCCCGGGGCCAAAACTTTTTTTTGAGACAGGGTCTCTCACTAAGTCCTTAAGTTGCCCAGGCTGGGCTGGAACTTGTGATCCTCCTGCCTCAGCTTCCCAGAGTACTGGGATTACAGGCATGCACCAAAACGCCTGGCTTAGGGAACCAGTTTCCATCTTGGCACAAGGTAAGAAGTTGCTCAGGGGAGACAGAATGGTAGGAGCTGCATCCAGGTCCTTATTCCTAAAAAGTACCCAGCAGGTTAAGCCTGAGTCCCAGCCACCCCGGCCTGGCCTGGCACCGCGAGTCGCACCACCGGACAGCTGCGAGTGCTGGGCGGGCTGCTCTAACCTGCCTGGGCCATCTGCTTCCACTTTAGGTTCTGGCTCACACAGGGTGTTTCTCTGGTCCCACACACCCTCTGTGACCATCACCAGAGAAGCTTTGGCACGGTCTGTGGCCCCACTGGCCCTGCCACTGGCCCTTGGGACATACCCAGGAAGTCACACAGCGGCTGGTCCAGCACCTTTAGCAGTAGCAGGAGCTGCCCCAGCTGCCGCTTCATGGTCTCCTGACTCTCCTCAAAGTTCCCGTGCTGTAGGATGCAAGAGAGGTTCATGTGAGGTGCCAGGAGCCCCGATTCCACAAGGACCCCATCTGCACCCCACCATGTGCCTCACCACGAGGTCCATGAAGCCACAGAAACACCAGAAGGCATCCACCTCGTTCTGAATGACGTAGAGGATCGGGGAGAGAAGGTCACTCATGCCCTGGACATAGCCTGGGGGACATGGGATCAGGGTGCTGTTCAGGCCCTCGGCACCCTTGAGGGACTCAGCCCACCCCTCCCTGCCCGTTGCCACACCGAGGTCAAAGTGGTACATGCAGTAGGTGAGGAGGATGTCGTTCAGCAGCCCCAGCCCCGGGTTCTCAGGGCCCTCATAGAACTTGTTGGTCCTGTCAGTGCGGCTCACGTCTCTCTCTGCAGGGGTGAGATGGCGCAGGGGACAAACGTGAGAAAGGCAAGGGGGCTCCAGGGCTCTCTCTGCAGGCAGGAGCCATCACCAACCTTCCTGCCCTGAGGGCCGCCCCCTGCTGTATCCTCCCACAAGTGGGTTCACTGAGGACGTCAGGTTCTCCCCGCAAGAGCTGCCAGTTGACCCCACAGCCACCTTCCCTTCTCACCCCCGGCCCGTCTCCCCTGCCACTCCTGCCTCTGCTGGCCCCACTCCCACCCGACACCCACCAATGAGGCTGCGGTATCCGTGCAGGAGTGAGTTCCTCCGCTCCTGCTCAGGGCTCACGGACTTCCACTGCAGCTTCATGCGGAAATACTCATCCCTGAGGGGCAGAAGAGAGCAGGAAGCACCTGGAGAGAAGCTCCGCCAGCACAGCATGCTGCCTCATCCTGGTCACCGCCCGGGACTCTGCCCTGACCACCTAGGTCCAAGCCGGCCACCAGGTCATTCATTACCACCCATCCTCTCCCCACTGCCCACTCCCACCACACAAGACAATCATGCGGGCTTCTGTTTGGGAGGCGGGGTGGCTGTTGTTGTTTGAGACAGGGTCACGCTATGCAGTTCAGACTGGCCTCAAACTCTCAGCAGTCCTCCTGGCTCAGCCTCCCCAGTGCTGGGATTACAGGTGTGCACCACTACATAGTATCCACCTTGTGTGGGTTTTTAGAGAGAATCTGTCACCCCTGCTAGACAAAGCATGTCAGGGACTGGGTACAGTTGGGCCCTGCAGCTACGTTTGGGACACGTGAGGAATGAGGCAGGGGCCTCACAGGGCAGGAACATCCTTCGATTCCCCACTCACGTTTTCTTGCGCAGGTGGGCCTTGTGCTCCTCGGCTGAGCCCTCCCAGCTGAGGTAGCCCAGGAGGAACTTCCAGGCCTCGCGCCGCAGGCTGGGGCTCAGACCCTGGGGCAACAGATAGCTCAGTGGGCCTTCTGGCCGCCCACCAGCCCACCCAAGCCCAGCCCCGCCCCGCCCAGTGCACCCCTGCCCTGCTGTGCTCACCCCCGAGAAGATCCGGTTCTTCAGCTCAGGGACCTGCTGCAGGCGGCCCTCGGGGCCCACGTGGCGGGCCCACTCCTCCTCTGTGACAGGAGGGGCACGCTCCACGGCTGGCCGTGGCCCCAGCTCCACCTGCGGACATGGGGTGGCTGAGTCCCAGCTCACTGGTTGTGGCCCCAACCCTGTCTCGGAGCCGGACAGAGACAGACCACTGACGCTCAGTCACCCCCAGGCAGGAAGGTCCCCTGGAACAGCAGCCAGGGGCACCAGGGCCTGGCACAGCTTCATGAGCTTGCTGAGTCACTCCTGAGGTGCCCCGGGAGGGCAGGGCTGCTGTCCCCATGCTACCGAGGAGAAACAGAGGCCCAGGGAAATGAGGGCCCCTGTCCAGGTGACACAGCCAGAAAGTCACAGGGAGGGT